AAGGCTCCAGACTGAAGAAGAAATGTCGCTTCAGTCAGTTTTGAAAGGTTTCTAGCAAGTATCAAATACTTGTTGATCTGCTCACAATAAACACCAGCAGGATTGTCAGCTCCTTTCACTGTCTGGGGAGGTGCATCTACACACTGCACCCAGGAGGAGCAGCTTGTTGGTTTCCTTTAGAAAAGCTGAGTAGCTAGAATCTGCCTCATTCAGTGTCTCTGGTTCAGATGACTGAAAGGAGATGCAATTGAAATGGCAAAGCCTCTCCTCTCTGGTTCGGGCAGCTCAAATACTGGGCATAAAACACTTGGAGCAGTTCAGGCAAACCCACCTGAATGGACCAAGCAGCACTGTCTGTTGCCATGGCAGCCTGATCTAATTACATGAGTGATCAGGGGCAGAGTAAGTGCACAGAAAACTAACACCACTGACAGTATCTGTATGATGCGAGAGGCAGACAGGCTTTTCAGCCTCAGCTTTATGTAGAAGGTGGCATTCAAGCCCACTTATTTGCAAAGCTGCTAAAATATTGACTGCTGCACAGCCAGTTAGAGGACAATCAGAGGAGATTAAATGCCACAGCTAAACTGCTCTGGTGCAATCCCTTTCCAAGAGTTTGTGCGCATGTTTTTCTTCTCTTTGGAGGCTACCTCTAGCTTCCGCTGGCATAAACTTCATTCAAAAATAAAATAAAAATAAACCCTGGGCTATCAAACTGTCTTAGCTACCCACCCATCATCAAGAAAGCAGAGGGTGGGCTTAACTAGGGCTTCTAGGAACTGCAGGGCTCTTCAAAAAGCCAAACAGAAATGGCTTAGCGAACAATATTGAAAAAGTAAGCAGCTGCGCTGAAAATAACCAGCATGTAACTACCTTGTTGTGTACAATCTAGAGCAATGATGTTTAAATATTAAGAAGAGCTTGCATTATAAAACAGAAATGTCATTGCGATGCGACTACTAGATTGCTACAGGGAAACACTGCACAGGCACACATTCCCCTGCATGCTGGGCAGGAGGTGAGGGGAGAACTCGACTCTTAGGCGTTACTTTTGATTCTGTAGGTGGTGTGGGGTCTTCTAATTTTACCAATTGTAGTCTGTGGCTCTCTCTGAGAAGCTAAGAAACCTCTCCGGGGACAGAACCAGTTTGGAGGAGTTCCTACTGCACAGCATACGGTAAACAAAAATAGCTTGCCTTTCTTGTTAGCCACACAGCGCATTATATAACCAGCTTCCGACTGGCTTTTTTTTTCCGCCCTTACTACTCTTCAGCAATTTCCCAACCTTCCCAAGTATTTATATTACCCTCTTATCTGTAGGATTATACAGAAAGAAAGCAAAACAAACCAGGACAGCCACGGGATCAAACTGAACTCCACCGTCTTAAAACCCTATTTTTTTTTTCTGACGGAGTCTAGATCACCATCCTACTTCCACTCCCCCCCACCCCCCAACTAAGGTCTTTGCTCAATCTCCCTAGAAAACCTGAATTGTTTCACCACTTCCAGTCAGCTCTCTACGTGGTCTGAAATAAAATGAAAGCGCACAAGCCACAGAGTTGAAGGAGGTGGCTAAGGAGAGGTCAAAGCGATGTAGAGTCAGTCAAGGGACCACCGCGGGGACCCCCTCACCATCGCGATGGCCCTGGCCCCCGCCCGACGCGCGAACACACACACACACACACACACACACACACACACACACACACACACACACGCAAGCACCTACACATTCATTTGCACTCACTCCCTCCTCTCCGACCCCGCCTCACCTCTCGCTCCGCCCGTCCGGCCCCTTCCCTGCCCCCTGCGGGACCGGCCTGTGCGCTCCGCAGTAACCACGTAGGAGGCAGCGGCGGCGGCAGCCCCGGCAGTGGCGGCGTCTCGGGCCCCGAGTGAACGAGCCGCGGGGCTCCGGGGCGCATCCCAATCCCCGCAGCGCCTCCTCCGCCGCCGCCTCCTCCTTCCCCTCCTCCCATCTTCATTCACCCTCCCTGCCGCCGCGCAGCCGAGCAGTCCCGGCGCAGGGCAGAGCCCGCAGCTCCTCCGCTGCTGCCTCGGGCGCCGGCGGGGACGCCGGGCCGGGCTGGGGCGCTCGCGGGCTCCCGGCTCGGGCAGCAGTGGCGGTAGCGGCTGCTCTGGATCAGGAAGCGACCGCACCAACAGGGCGGCGGTGGCAGCTGCAGCAAGGGCCCTTCCCCGCCGCCCCTCCCGCTGCGCTCCGATAGCCTGCGCGCCCCTGCCCCCTGCGCCGCCACCTCTCTGCTCCCCTAGGCCGTGCGCAAAGTCCCCGGGCCCCGAGAGGTTGGCCTAGGCGGGGAGACCCCCGTCTTGGAGTGGCCTCTCTCAAGCTAGGCGACCCCTAGGCGGGGAAGCCTAGCCCTCCCTCGAGCCCCAGCGGCGCTCACCACCCCCTGCCGGGAGGGAGAATTTACAAGAGCGAAGAGGGCAGCGCGACCCTCAACCGCTGCCGCCTCCCTCTGCGCCACCAGGAGGGAGGAGGACAGGGCTCTCTACGCTCGCCGCCGCCGGGCCAGCAGCAGCCCGAGCGGGGCGCCGCCGCTCTCCCCACCCGCGCCCCTCGCCCTGGCGCGCCCCCTCTCCTTGGGGCCGCCCACCCGGCCCCTGGCTTCTCCCCTTGCCCGCCGCTCCTGCGCCCACAGTGGGGTCCCCAGCCGGGAGGCTGGAACCCGGCACGGGTGTATGTACACACACACACTCACACACGCTCGCGCGCACGTTCACATACATACACACACACACATACACACACACACACACACACACACACACACACACCAGGACGCGTCGGTTCCCTTCGCTCCTCTTCCAGCTGTTTTCCTTGCAGCCCATTGAGACTGGGGGAGGGGGTGTATGCTGGATGTTCTTTGGCCCCTCTCTGGAGAGAGCGGATTGGGGTGAGGGAGGGGGTGATTTTAATCTAAATCGGGGGGGGGGGAGGAGGATGGGGGAGGGGGAGAGAAAGAATCAGAGGAGGAAAAAAAATAGCCACTTACTGTAAAGTGTAAATGGATCTGGGGTTGCGTGGGGAAGGGGGGACAGAGGGAGAGACACAGTGTCCTGCGGCTGCTGTAGCTCTAGCTGCGGCTCCACAGGGCTTGTTTTGGATCCCCCTGCAGTGAAACAGGTCCTGTACGGCTCCGCCACTGTAGTAGAAATGATGTCTGCGGTATACTCTGCTTTCTCCTCCTCCTCCCCCCTCCCCTCCCTCCTCCCTCCGCCCGCCCTCCCTCCCTCGCGCTCTCTCTCGCGCTCGCTCGCTCGCTCCAGTATGTAAATGTGTAATAGAAGCCAAATATGGAGCAGTTGGCTGCCGCCGCCACAGCTCAAGGATCCGACTTCATGGGGGGGGGGGGGCACCCTCTGGCAGGCGGCCCGGCGAGCCGCACAGAGCACGGCGAGCGCACGGCGCGGCTGCCGGCCCGCGCCCTTAACCCTTGTATGCACCCGACCGGAGCAGCGGTCCCTCCAGCGGAGGCCCGGTGCCTCTTCCTAACTGCGGCTCCGGATCCCGGACGTCGGCCTGAGGGGACTGTGCCTTCCAGGTTTGAGAAAGGGGCGGGGAAGTTGGGGCGATGAGGTCATTGGAGTGGTGACCGATCGGTGCTCTCGCGCCTCCTCGGCTCCTTGCAACCTAGTTGGAGGGGCCAAGGCGAGTGCACTGTGCAACTCCGGTAACCTGGAGTACTCACCGCAACGGGTGTCAGGCTTCGGCTCCCACCTGGTAAAATAACCAAGGATGCGGGGAACTCGGCTGATTCTAATCCTGAAGTGACCTTGATGCCCCCAACCCCCAACCCCGGTGCGCGTCTAAGAGGACTCACAGTATCCACGCTGTTAACCCTCCTGCCCGTGAGCCCTGAGCAACCTGACTCCGGGCCCGCGCCTTGGCTTGCAACTCGGGAAAGTTCTCAGGCTTCCTCAGTTTGCACTGGCGCCGTCACCTTTCCTGCCCGGACAAGCTGGCGACCTCCCGGCCTCCTTTCTAATTCTGCAGATCTAGAAATCTGCAGCAGGAATGGGACGTCTCGGGTTTAGCCCTGGTAGCCGACCTGTTCACTCCTCTCGCAGCTAACTGGGGATCATTCATTTCATCGGAAGTGAGGTAACTGGTGCATCGAGCTTTCTATGGCCATTCTCAGGAGTCCATGGCGAAGGAACTTCCCCTAGTCCCGGTGGCTAAAGGCAGACATGGAGTCCTCGCCCCCCCCCCCCCCCCCCGCCCTCCGCTACACCGCTGCCAGGTGTGAGCTCGGTGGGAAGGAATCTTCCCCGGAGGAGTGCACCTTGCCAACAGGTGTGGCACCCAGTGGAAGAGCGGACACAACCCTACAAGGGTCGCTCAGTGCCGCGTTCTCTTTGCTGCAGATAATTCTAGAAGACCAGTAGGTGTCAGGCCAGCATCTGACCTCTTTCAGGTGCTTAGAACTCAGAGTCTAGAAACTCGATCCCTTGGTCTTGTAGGAAGCCTCTATTATTGACTAAGAGCGGGATTTGAGAGACCTTTTGGCTCCGTTTACTTAGGACCTAACAGTCAGTGTCTGAAGCAGCGTACAGAATCACCAAGAGAAACCTGTGAGCTTTCTAAACTACTGTTTTGTGGAGTCAGCACTTCAGATTAAAATTTTAAAAAAGTCATGGCGCGGGGGGGGGGGGGGGCTACATATCTATTCTCAGGTTTGAAATACCGTGCACACGTCCACAGCTACTTAAATAGAACTACGACTGTTCCCTCCCACCCCGCTCCGTAACTTGTGTTTCTGTTCACTTAAAGATCCCTGATTGTTAGACTTCATACACTAAAGTGACATCGTTGGTCTCATTACAGCCTCTAGTGGACGGTTAACAGGAGTTGCCTGTCAAGGCTCTGACTAGTTTTGTTTTCCCTCCTGAGCTTTATCCAGGTGAAGGTTAATAGTTCAGAGCTTAATCGGGTGCTTTCTTTCGGTGCTCTTGGAAAAGCTGTCTTTGAACAGGAACGGAAGCTTGCCGTCTTCGTGTGGAACAGGCGGAAGCTTTGCACTACAGGTATTGTTGCTGCTGGCCCGTGAATCGACAAAGCTTCTGCTCTTCGCTTCAGTTGCAGACAGCTTTCATAAAAAAAAAAAAAAACCGAAATCCATCTAAAATATTTTTATAACAGAAAATATTGGTTGCCATGTTTCTGGCGTAACTGAGATGTTTTCATTCCAGCTCATAATCTGCAAACTGTCCAATCCACCTCCACTCTATTTTTAGACATCTTACATTTAGAGAATTTTCAAGGGAAAAACTAATATTGTAATTATTACGTTGGTGCAAGCAGTTAATTTGCATTATTTTAACAACCTTAAACATATTAAAACACATAATTCATATTTGACTTAGTCAATTAATTTAAATGTTCCCCGAAGAAAGCTAAATATGTGCATTACCCACACAGTAAAAATAATTAATAAAAAATTGCTGTTTACTCTCCTAGCCGTTACGATTAAAGCCATAAACTGCAACACGTCACACTGTCTCCTCCTTTCCTCTCTCTCTCTCTCTCTCTCTCTCTCTCTCTCTCTCTCTCACACACACACACACACACACACACCCTCCAGCTATTGCTTGCTGCGAGGTCCAACACAAACATAATACCCATGATGCAACTTCATAACTCGAGTGCTGATACATTTTCTTTCCAGATGACAGAGCATCAAATGCACCATCAGAGGTAACAGGACAGGTTCTTTAAAAGCAAAAGATCTCACGCAAATGAAAACTCGGTGGTAACAGAGCAGTTTCCAAGGTGACAGGCGACGGCTGTATAGCACCGTTCCCCTGAACCCAAATCTGATATTATATTTATACAAGACTCAGTCAAGCTTTGAAATGGAGTCAAATTGAGGAGGAAGGCCCGCTGAGCCTTACTCCTAATCTGTGTTATGAATGACTTAAACAACGTGAAAAGAAATGTTAGTACCCTTTATTTGTTTTTCTAAAGATTTTTTCAGTGTGTGTATGTGCGTGTGCGTGCATGCGTACGTGCATCCTGACACTTTCCAAGTACTCCTTTGAGACGGGGTCTTTACCTGAATCTGAGGATCATCTCTTCTCCACTAGGCTAGAAGCCAGCAAACCTAGCCATTGCCTCTTGCCTCTTCCCTCTCCACGCTGAGGTAAAGGCATGTGGGATGCCAGACTCCTTTAATGAGTGCTGGGGTCCACACTCAGGGCCACAGTGTCCTGCAGCAAGTGCTCTCAAGACCCAAGTCATGTCTCCAGCCCACCTTCTATAGATTTTAATGTTTTTGTCCCATCTACTTTTGAAAGTTTAAAATGGACTGGCTACTGTATATTAAGTCACAAGACTTTTATATATTACATTTCTGCGTTTAAAATTGGAGTCCAAAATGTCACGGCGCCTACCATAGCACCACCGTCTGGAGGAGTTTAGACTTCAGAATCAAGGCTCCTACCCCACGATATACAGTCAGAGTCTGCCTTTGAACTAGCTGCCTGACTAAGACTGGGCGCATCTCAGCCTGAAGAACACTGATCTTCATGGGCCCTGTCTGGGCACATTTGGCCATGATACAGAACTTAATTCACCAATGAATTACCTTTATGTTAATTATTTTACCCATGGGGAAAAAAAAATAACACATTGCTCCTGGACCTCTGCATCCCCAAATGTAACCAGTTTATAGTAGAAAACATAGTATTTTTAAAAGCCATCTGCACTGAATACCTATAGACTTACCCCTCACCATGCTCCACACAGAATACAGAATAACAAGTCTTTCCACCACACCAGGGTGCTATCAGTAATCTAGAGATTCCTTAAAACTTAAAGTTATACTGTAAATTTAAATTACTGATTATGTTAAAGCATTAAGAGGATGTTAATACACGGTATGTAAACATTATATAATACACTTGTACGATCTAAGATTTGGGTATTTAAGAGGAACCCTAAAACTAGCCTTCCCGTTTGAGGGGTGACTATATATGTGTGAAGGAAATGGCAGTTCATCAATGAAAGAAACTGGCTTGCAATGAGTGTGCTGGGGTCTTCACTAGGAATGTGTTCTCTGAGGCAGTAGAGGGAGCACAAGAGTGCTTAGGACAGCCATTGTACACAGGGCGCTCCAAAGCATGACAGATTTTTAAACTGTAGTATATGTTTGCATTGGAAGTAGCCTGTTACGCCATTCCAAACAAAACAAAACGAAAAAGCTAACAAACACACTGCCTACCCGATTACAGCAACTAAATAATTGAACAGATTGCAAATTACATAAAATAAAAGATACAAGATATACTCGTTTCAAGTTTTAGGCTTGCATTCTTCCAGTGGACTTCAAGAATCCTGCTTAGGAAAGGTACCTTATTGCCAAGAATGCACAAAGCCCCGGTTTGATGCCCAGCACCACAATGGGTGTGGCTGGCACACACCTGTAATTTCGGCAGGAGACTGGGAAATTCCAAATCGTTGTTCCTGAACTGCATGCCAAGTTCAAGGACAGTCTAGGATAGGTGGGATGTTGTCTTAGGGGGAAAAAAAAGCAAAAAGCCTTCCTGGTGGCATACCTCAAAGGTTAAAAGAACTTACCACCAAGCCTGAGGACCCAGGTTCAGTCCCTGATCCACGTGGTGGAAGGACAGACCAAGTCCTGCAAGTTTTCCTCTGACTTCCACAGCAGCACTTCGGTGTGAGTGACCCCCCCCCCCCACATACACCTTCACAGTAAGTAAATGCACATGATAAAATTTAGTTAAAGGATGCATTGGTTTTCTCTAGTCAAAAATAATGTTAATTTTTCAGAATAGACAACCCTGAGAGAAACTAAGATGCATAACTAAGAAGGGAGTTAGTTCATCAATATTATACTCAATAAATTGATTTTGAATCAAACGCATTGGTTAAAAAGTAGATGATTTTTTGTAATACTTTCAAAAATGTCTCATTTGGGGCTGTTTCAACTGCTTGCCATGATGACTATCAATTTGATTATATTTATATGGTTTTTCATGCTGTTCACATTTCTCCTATATCATATCCTTAAACACTTCCCTCAGGTGGGTAGGGCACATAAGAAAAGCCAATATTGAATCAGGAAGCTACATAGTGAGATCTAGTTGACATTTAGTGAGTATCTATTTATTTATTGTAGGTGGATTTCATGATGTAGCCCAGGCTGGCCTAGAACCTCCAGTCCTCCTATCAGAACCACAGGAGTGCTGGGATGACAGCCTAGAACGTTTTCCAGCTGATAAGCATGCATTCAGTAAGAGATGAAGAATAGAGCACCAGGCCTGGAGCCTCAGACCTAGGGTACAGCATTCCGGAAGTGAAGACAGAGAAAACTAGAGACCAAAGCCAACCTCAGCTACATGGTGAGTTGCAGACTACATGGAATCTTATAATTAGAACCTGTGTCTGAATTCTCGAGCTGTTCTTTCTGTCCTTGTTCCTCAGCTACTACTTGTTTTGAATCTAGTATACAGTACACAGCCCCCCCCCCCCCCCAAGAACACACACTGAGGAAGATGGACTAGCCAACAAAGAGTTTACCAACCTTACCTTTCTAAGAATGTGTATCTTCAGCAGGGTGAGGAGGCTCACTGCTGGCCGGCCAGTGCCTCTCAGAAACACACAGGCAGCCCTGGAAGCACTGAGAATCCAAGATGGCACTCACTGAAATGTTGGGGTGGGGGTAGGAGAACAGTTGTATAACTCTTGAGCAAGGTTAGGCTTACAAGCTCCTATTAGCCTTTCAACTTTGTAAACCAGACCAAATGTGAAGACGAAATACGTCTTATCTAAGTGCACCTCCTATCAAAGATCATCGAAGTTGAAGTAGTAAACATTTATTTATTCTTATCTCTTTAGAATTGTTAAACGTCTTTCCTCCCACAGTAGAGAAATACTTGCCAAGTTTCTGCCTGGAACAATTTGTTATGGCTATGCAATAATCCTGGAAACTTTGAATTTTTAATGGAAACACTGAGGCCAGCTCTTTAACCATGCTCTTGCAAAAAGGGGTTTATCCTATATGTCATCTTAAAAACAGAGCAAGCTGTTACACTTTGCTTAGATTGTACTCCTAAAGAAGCCTGTGGGGAAATAAACCAGAATAACGAGGCAAACTAGAAACAAAAGTGAAAGCTGCCCATTCAATAGACTCTGGGGTCTGTGGGCCACATCCTAGCTGAAGTCCAGAGGTTCTACTTACAGACCTGAGTCCTGAGGCTGTGTGCAGCCTACAGACTTACAGACCTGAGTCCTGAGCCTGTTTACAGCCTACAGACTTACAGACCTGAGTCCTGAGCCTGTTTACAGCCTACAGACTTACAGACCTGAGTCCTGAGCCTGTTTACAGCCTACAGACTTACAGACCTGAGTCCTGAGCCTGTTTACAGCCTACAGACTTACAGACCTGAGTCCTGAGGCTGTGTGCATCCTACAGACTTACAGACCTGAGTCCTGAGGCTGTGTGCATCCTACAGATTTACAGACCTGAATCCTGAGGCTGTGTGCAGCCTACAGACTTACAGACCTGAATCCTGAGGCTGGGTACAGCCTACAGACTCTTACAGACCTGAGTCCCCAGCCTGGGTACTGCCTACAGACTCTTACAGGCCTGCTTCAGAACTACATCTTTGATCTCTTATAAACTACAGCAGCGCAGGCTTCTTGATCATGAAATGACATCACTAATATTCAAGAGTGGAATGAGGACTTGGAGTATAGCATCAGCAAGACCCTGGGTTCTATTCCCCAGAGCCACAGAAAAAGGGTTGGCTAAAAGCCCTTGCACTATAGTATCTGCTGCCAGTTTACGAGTCAACAATACACATATCTAACTAAACTAAACAAAATAGCAATTTTAAAAACAACCACATAAATATTTTAATATAGAGTCTCGCTCTCCAGTACAGTCTTTGAGCTCTTGAAACTTGGCTAGTTTAAATTGAAATGTACTGTAAGCATGAAATATGCTTCAAAATGTAAAGACTTACTTAGATATCTGTGTATATGAAGGATACAAATATGTATATACATATATTCAGTACCTCAATAATTTCTTTTTTTTTTTTTTGGTTTTTCGAGACAGGGTTTCTCTGTAGTTTTTGAGCCTGTCCTGGAACTAGCTCTTGTAGACCAGGCTGGTCTCAAACTCACAGAGATCTGCCTGTCTCTGCCTCCCCAGTGCTGGGACTAAAGGCGTGTGCCACCACCACCCGGCTCCTCGATAATTTCTTATTGATTAAATGTTGAAATGAAAACATGTACATTCACCATTCACTGGGATAAATGAAACATATTGGTAACACATATAAAAGCATAAATATATATATACATATATGAAATAAATATATACACGTGCTTGTATGCAGAGATGTATACACATGAATATATAAGCGATCATATACACACAAATACACATTTATATTTATATTTAAGTATATATCTTTTTCTTTGTTTGCTTACTGGGTAAAGTGATTGAGCCCAGAGCTTCATTATGTCAGGCAAGTCCTCTACTCTTTCAGCCCCATAATTCAACATTTTCCACAGTCAGCTATCAAGCAATCAAGTGATGAGATTGGCAAAACAGGATTAGCCTCAAAGAGCTGGACACCTCTGGATCCTGGATGGCTTCTTGCAAGCATGCAACAGATATTAGCTGATGCTTGCCCTTCTTCATCTGAATGTCCTCTTTCTCCATGTGACACAGACTATATCACCTGTCTTCTGAGAGTCATCTGTCTGAATGCATTGTCCCATTGGTAGATATGCTGCAGGCCTGTGAAGCAAAAGCTATTAGGCTCATCTGTGCCTGAGTCTTCCTGGAGGGTGCTCAGACTCTGGTCACTTGAATTGCTGAAAAGCCGACACGTGTGCTAGAAAGCAGTAATGTTCTAGCATTGTAGCTGGTTTGGGAAGTTGCTGTTTGTGGCTAAATAGTGTGGCGTTGATACCTTTTAGGAACAAATGGCTTTAGGTATTAATAATGGAAAGTATATTTTTGGGGGCTTGGGCTATGACTTAGTCAGTGCATCCTTGCTTCAGAGTGTGAGAACTGGAGTTGTGATCCTCAGCACCCATGTAAAAAGTTGGGTGTGCTGGCACACCAGTAAACCCAGCGCTGGGGAAGTGGAGACAGGAGGATCCCTGGGATTAGCTGGCTAGCCAGTCTAGCTGGACACATGTAAAAAGTCCCTGTCTCAAAAATAAGGCTAGAAAGATGGAATTCCTGGTACCTTCCTAGTGGAAAGGAAGAACCCCTAGCTGATTTCTTCACCCACGTATGTACTTACAGTGCTACACTGAAACACATACACACACACACATACACACATACACACACATACACACATACATACACATACACACATACACATACACACATACACACACATACACACACATACACACACACATACACACACACACATACACACATACACATACACACACATACACACATACACATACACACACATACACACACATACACACATACACATACACACACATACACACATACACACACATACACATACACACATACACATACACACACATACACATACACACACATACACATACACACACATACACACATACACACACATACACACACATACACACATACACATACACACACACATACACACACATACACACATACACACACATACACACATACACATACACACACATACACACATACACACACATACACATACACACATACACATACACACACATACACATACACATACACACACATACACACATACACACACATACACACACACATACACACATACACATACACACACACATACACACACATACACACATACACACACATACACACATACACATACACACACATACACATACACACACACATACACATACACACACATACACACATACACACACATACACACATACACACACATACACACCAATAAAAAATGTAGTATGATGAAGGAAGGGAAAGAGAACACTAGACACTGATCTGGCATACAGACATACAGAGAGACATACTCACTCATACACACACATACATGCACACACTTATGCACATGTGTGTGTGCGTGCACACACATACACGGAAAGATACATAATATAATAAATAATGTTTAAAAATTAAGATGTCGAGTGGCTATGGAAAATACCAAACATTGACCTCTGACCTACACAAATGCACAGGTACACATACACACATTCATACCCACACATGAAAATTATACATTTTGCTGTTTAACAAGAAAACATACCAAGTCTATTGAAAAGAAATCTGTTTTTTAGTGTATAATAAACTCATCCCAATGGGATACTTCTAAAGGGAATGAGACGGTTTTTGAAGAATTTTTAACCATTATTAATTTGTCAGCAAGCCAGAGATGATTTGTCATCGAGGCCACCCTGACCAAGGTTGAGTTTGAGGAAACGGGCCTGTTAAATATCATAGTTTGTTACTCCAATCATCTAATAAGCACAACTCTTTTTAAATGAGAAGAAGACAGGCAACATTTTAAGGCTGAGAGTATGTGAGTTAAACCTTGCTTGGTATTGGCTGGAAACTTTTGGGACTCTATTTTTAGTGTTTCATTAACAACTTGGCATTTTTTTCCTCAAAAGAAATCCATTTTCTAAATTAAAATCCAAGCCAGAGGCACCGTCGTGTGAACGTAAGACAGTGGCACTTGAGGGGTGTACTCGTCAGACACAGGGTGCTTCCAGAGGGAGGCGTGGACCATAGCAGGCTGCAGAGATAAACATAGGATCCTTACGGGAGCTCCGGGAGACTTCTCTGTCCTTCTCGCTTCGTGACATGAGAAAAACATGACAGCAAGCTCTCTCTTAGCTACTTTATTTTTCTTGAATAAATATTGGCCAGGACAAGCTGGTCTGAATAAGGGTCATAGTTTAAGAACATCCTTTTGTGAGGAATTTACCCAGCTTGCCTCCAAAGAGGAAGCAGCGCAGAAAAAGAAATGCATTGGCAAGATTTCCTTTTTTTTTTTTTAACATAAATAACTCGAGTTCATAGAAGAAATTGTCCAGTCAGGGTTTCAGAGGGGATCGGCAAGTGGTTTGAAGCCTCCACAAAGACCTGGAAGTGGGGCTGGGAGCTGGGGCAGGGAGTCGGCGGTATCTAAGAACCTCCTACTGGAGGTTCTCGTTTTGCTTTGCCCCTCCTGCCACAGATGCCTTCTGCCAGGGCGGGGATAATAGCACCCAACTAAAACTGTAAATTACAAACACTCTCCTTAACTACAGAATGAACATGCAGAATAGAAGACCCTGTCAGCCAATCAAAGAGAAGAAGACAAATTACTCACTCATCCCCCTGCAGCCAAAATCTTATTCTACC